AGCTAATAAAACGTTGTTAAAAGATGATTTTTTTTCATCAGGATCGACTTTATTTGTAACCCATGATCAAAGGTATACTTGGTGCTGTCGCCTGTCTTAGTTTTCGGGAGCGTTCCAAAAATACCCTGTATAACATAACATGTTATAAAAACTTAATAATAATTTTATATAACATGTTTCAGTACTGCGTAGGCTGAATGTTATTAAACGTGCTATATAACCTAAATATATAGTTATATAACACAAATGTTTTATAACTCGAGCGGCATTGTTATATTGCATTGTTATTCTAATGTGTACAGTATTGTTATATGTTGCAATGTTGAAAAACAATGTTACATAATGTGGACGTGTTATAAATCAATATTTATACAACATGTTACTTAATCTGTACGCACCCTTACGGCTTTGATAACGGGTCACTGTCGTTGTTTAAGAGTTATCATTATAATTGTCTACAACAAGTTATAATTAACAGGAATGATGGCGAAAGCCATATTTCCCAACTTCTTTCTGTCAATATAGGTGTTCCATTTGGATCTATTTTAGGTGCTTTGCTTTTTATCATTTATAGTTCCAATATAACAATATGTCTTGAAAACCAGAATACCTATATGAAAACTTTGAGTGGAGACAAAATCAACATGTGTATAGTATTCGAAAGTATGCAAAAGTACTTCGTATACCTCAACATAAGACATCAGCATTGCGTGGTAGGTACAAATTTATGGCCACAAAATATTGGAACGCTCTTCCATCACTGTTATGAGCCATAACAAATAAGAATAGTTTTAAGAGTATTTATTAAGTGCGGAAATATGTAATAAACATAAAAACATCTGTAGCGGCTGAGTGTCTCATATATATTTATTTATATGTAACTTACATTTACTGCCAATATTCTTTTTAATAACCATTATGTTGTTTTAGTATAATTATACTATAATTAGTCTGAATAAATCAAACACTACTGTAGCTCTTACTTTTAATATTACTTTTTCATATATTTTGTTTATATAATGTATATCTTTGTACATGAATATTAATAATTAATTTATTAATAGTAACAAATATGAAAACTTGTACTGGTTGACTAAATAGTTCTTGTACTGGGTGAATAAATAATTGAACAAATCAATTGCTATTTGTAATATAATCAGTGATGTAAGTACGCGTACTGTTAGACTGTAGTTCATTAAGTATATGTTTGCTGACAGAATAACAGCGTTGTAGATTCTCTGCAACACATGCTGAGTCAGAACCTTTTCATTGAAAAAAAATTTTTCAGGGAATGAGGTGATCTCTTCCAAGCAGTATCTAAAATAAATTTTGTAAATAGTTCGTAATCATTTATATTGTAAAATTTATTTTTAAAAAAAGTCCCGCTGGGTTTCTTGCTGGTTCTTCCCAGGACAGAGGGTTTTTTTCGAACCAGTGGTAAAGTAAAAAATGACTTTCAATAAGAATTACACATGTAATGTATATTGAATAAAAATATTCTATTCTATTCTATTCTATTGTCCTTCTTAAAATATTAATTTTGTATTAGTTAAACGTTTTGTTACTTTTGTTCAATAAATAAATATTTTGTTATTATTATTATATTTTCAAAAGTTATCGTGTTTACGAAGCCATGCGGACCTGATAAATCTACACCATAAGCCACTAAAATCCCTTTTTTATGTAAAAATAGTAATTAATCGATTTAAAAAAAAATTAATAAGTGTAACAATCATTTATCTTTCTCACAATGTGTTTTTTATATCACTTATATGTACAATATGATTGCTAGATACGATTTAATGCGATAAAACGTTGGAATCTTAATTTTTAGGCCCTAGTAGATCATATCTGCGCGCTTAGCGCTAACGGCATGCAAAAGTTGTAGCCCATATACATGCCACTTTGAAGATTTTAGATAAAGAAATGTCCACCGCGCTACCTCAATGTATGTTGGCCGACTTCACACGTATTTGAAATATTTACGTAATGCTGCAGAACGCAAAAAATATCAATACGACTATAATCAGGCATACACCATCCCAAGGTCCCCTATAAAATCCCAGCAGACATTACCACCCACATACCACCATCGACCAGAACCACAAGATGCGTCAAATCAGGCGCAGCACACCCGCAGATCCGTCACAAGACGCAATACCGTAAATAGCAGTAAGTATCAATGCCACGACCATACAGATGGCACTCCCTTACAACACACCCACATGACTTGGGTAACAAAATTGGTAAATTTGTTAACTATAAGTCCACGTTTCATAGCGCTATTGCACTAAAACATAGAGTTGAGTATGCTTGCTGCTCTTAAAAGCACTATCAAACACACTCACCCTAATCCGAAAGATAGCCGACGACGGGTGTGCGATGTCCACGGGCAAGACGTATTACTACAACAAACCCGCTTCCCACCTGCACTAAGATGATATGTATAGGACACATCGGTTAGCGAGTCCAAGTTTCTCTGTTTCGGACGCTGTGAAGCAATCTACACGCCACTATAATAATCCTTTTCAAGTCCTCCCATAAAATAAAGCAAATATGTGGAGGGACTCAAATATGTAAAAGCCTTATATTGAAAGAAATGGGATATTCAGCCATGTTGATGAAGGGTGGGAGACGAAACGCAGAAGCAGAGTTTTTACTTCTCGCCGGTCTTCTGTGAGGTCGTGGTACTACGTCATCTCGAGCCGGCCTATACGTTCAACAGCAAAAGCTGATGCGTGTCTCTGTACACCACTGTACAGACTGTAGCGAAATCCAGACTGACACGCGATAAGGTGATGCTGCGTATATGGTGGTGTTGGAAGGGCATCGTTTATTATGAGTTTTACCGCCGGGCAAAACCATCGATTCGGATCTTTACTACCAACAACTAATGTACAACAAACAACAAATTAATTGTTAGTAAGTTTCATCATAATAATATACGAGTACACTATAGCTTAATTAATATAATTTTCAACCTATTGCTTTCGTTATTTCACTTAGCTTCGCTATGACATGAAACGTTACTGAAACATGGTATTGACGTGAAAAATCAATGACACGTTTATTAGAAATTGTCAACTACATGCAATGTGGAAATAAATCTGATGTAGACGTGCCTATTATGCCATTATACGATAACATTAAAATTTCATTCTGGGTGGATGATGTGGATTTCATCCATTACAGCCTATTTTTCATTGTTCATTGCTGAAAATAGGTCTCCCTCATAGATTATCTCATGGGGGCATTTCCCCATAGTTGCCACGCTTGGCAAGTGGGTGGGCAGCTGCAGTTTTTTTGTTATTTTGAAATATGTTCTGCTGCATATCTCCTGTTTCATTTAGTAACATGTTGTGTAATAATTAATTACACAACATGTTACTTAATCTGTACGCACTAATTCTATAAAAAAAACTACGAAGTTTCATCGCATGGTTCCAATTTGATTCGAGCACAGAGGAGGTAATCTGTGGATTCGAGTTTCAAAGTACTAGACTTAGTAACATTCAGTTAATCAATTATTTTTCCACTGTATTATTTCTTTTATCATTCAGTTTTGAGACTAGTGCAACATTCCTTTCTAATCGAAACTCCGTACCTCTTTTTTGTCAAATTAGTTATGGCTAAAGACGAGCCTAGTGCCATGTCAAAACAAACAAAAGAAACCGATATGGACTTTATAAGTAAATTAATTGATAAAACGGACGGAAATCGCGAAAAACCTAATGCGTTTATATGCCGCTCTAATTTTACGCTTCAAGTGTCAGGGGCCGTTTGGGGTCACCCGATATGGGCAGGCGCTAATGTAAACAATGATATCTTTTTAATTTTGTAACATATAAGACTTAAACTCCTCGAATCGTTATGAATTAAGCTATTTAATTCTACTTCATACAAATTAAGTTCTATTTTTATGATAGTATAATCAATCTCATTTTAAAATAGTGTGACGTAATTTTGCCGGTTTCTTGTATATAAAGGTAAATATTATGAAATTAAAGCATTATATAAAAAGTTATTTATTTGATTTGCATAACAATACAACATTATATCAAAAGAGATAAAGAATTTGAGAACTGGCAACAGTTAGAAGAATTTTCTAAAATCAATTTGGCGAGAAAAAAAATTACGCTGCACTACTCTTGGACCTCTAATATTGTTGTCAAACTAATAGCGAAACAGTCAACTAGCTCGCACTACGCGTAGAGACATGCCTATCAAACTATTAACCAAAATCAATATTTCAATACCCACGAAAAATAAAGGTGAACTGACTGGCCGTGTCGTTGCAACACAAGACTTAGCATTGCATACATTTATTAGTGGCTTAAATTCTCGATTGTCAACTGTAGTCAGATGTCGTGACCCTGAAACTTTAAATGAAGCCACTGGCTTCTCTTTATTTGAAGAAAAATATTGCAGACCACTTCTAAACGTAATCCATCAGCAATCAATACCAATTCACCTAATCAAGGACGTTGGCTTAAGCGTCGATTCCAACAGAACTGAAACTTTACACACCAAGGTTATACCAACGAGACCAATAGTCAAAAGTCATCTACTTCAGGTCCTCCAGTGTGCCCTTATTGTAAAAATGTGGGCTACACAATCGAGGAATGTAGAAAACGGGAATTCAATAATAACCGCTTCAGAGATCAAATTAATCAAAGACTATTTCCAAGGTCATACCAAAACAAGCTCAAGTTCACATGGAAAATAACGAAAGCAGTGATTACGGAAGATACCCAGGTTAAACCAAATGATGATTTTAACAAATAAGGAGCTCTCGGTGGTGTCGGCGCCCAACGGGAGTTCACCTCTCAGTACCCAGTCGTAGCCGATGTTCCATAGGAGCGGTCCCAAGACCTATTCCTGCGGAACACCGCACGACATGTCGCGCCGACCAGCGCCGTCACGTCCCCGATACCTAACGCATCTCTCCTCAAGGTAAGCCCCTATTGTGCGGCGGAGGTAGAGAGGCACGCGATGGTAATTCAGCGCCTCCAGTGTAGGGTGTTGAAGGCGTTGGAGATGTTTAAAGATACCGCCAGCACCACAACATCCTGGGACACTGTCTCCTCCGCCAGAGCCCTCACGCACGTAATAGCGTCTATGGTGGAGCGCCCGTGACGATAACCAAACTGGTTCACGTACAGGTCCGGCCCCTTTCTGCACAAGTGGTGGACGAGGTGATCTGCGATGGTACGCTGAAGAAGTTTTCCCGCTTCCTCGCACAGCACTATGGGCCGGTATGCGGACGGTGAGTCCGTGGGGCGCCCCTCCTTCCTGAGCAGGACCAACCTCCCCTTTCTTCTTCTGAAAGCTAGTCTAACTAAGCTCAAATTCATTGTTCAACTACAGAACGACCTCACCAAATATTCCCTTGCTTACCCTGTCCCTAATTCTGCAGAAGAAACATGTGCGTGTGTAATGTATTTGTGTGTGCACTTTTAATGTCATCTCGAAGTCTATTTTAACCGATCAAAGCACAAACTTTACCACGGATTTATAAAACCTGCAACTTACTGAAAATTAAACAAGTCTGGTCTTCCCCATACCATCCTCGAACTCAAGATGCACTTGAGCACAGTCATTCCACACTTAAGGAATACCTTAAATCTTATGCCAACGAAAAGCATTCTAAATGGCATAAGTATGTCTATACTGCTATGTTAGCGTATAACACCTCTGCTTATTCCACTACTAACTTCACACCATACGAGTTCCTCTTTGTTCGAAAGCCTTTTATCCCGGACTCCGTCTACGATTACAATCATACTTTACATATCCATATCTCAAATCCCTTTATCATCGTCTAGAACTTTCACGTGAAAAAGCCTTAGAAAACATACAAATATATAAGGAAATATCTAAACAGTGTTATGACACCCGTTCACGACCTGTTCTGTATAAAGTCGGAGATTACGTATATCTCAAAAATCATATACGTCTACGCAGAGCTCTTTCGCCAATTTGGAAAGGATCGTATAATGTTGTAAAAATCAATAATAAAAACACCTTGACCTTATTCATAAATATACGTCATGTGACACGTCACAGTGAGAGTTGAACTAGCTTCTAGATTTGAAATGTAGCCCTAGTTATATACTTAATATTAATTATAATTATACTCTATTATATTAATTCTGCGTTGGGTCAAGAGTTCATTACGTCTTTGAGGAACAGTCTTAGCATCTACTTCAAACCCTTAGGTTCTTTAAGTGTAGTTGATAGTCACCTTAGTATAGTTATCCCATATGATGTATCCCTTGTTAATCAGCATATCCTTAACCTCCGACTTATTCTCAAAAAAACCTTTGATTATTTGGAATTTATTTATCTCTTCGAACCGTCGAATATCTGTTATAATTAACCCACAAGAACGAAGCTACTTTCACCTTACGTCTCGCCAGTCGAGAAGTTCTGCACTCCGGAGATTCGTAGGCACTGTAACAAAAAAAATATTTGGCACCATTTGGATGAAGACGATGACATCCGATACGACAATGCCATTACAGAGGTAGAAACAGACCAGAAGAAAGTAATTCCTAATGAAGGAAAATATATTCGTCACTACTTCTTCGCTTAGATCTTTTAATGTGTTTTTTAAAATTTTTAAAAGTGCAACTGATGAACTGTTCCAAGATATTCTAAATCTGACTTACTTTTTAAGGGAATGTTAACAAATGCAAACTCCAAATTAAACTATTTCCTTCGTGTATTAAAAAGTGTTTTTTTTAAACCTTGTTTACTGGTTAATAACAGCGCGTCTTAAAATTTTCTTGCAAACCGATTTCGATTCCCACTGACACTTGAATTTATTTATATCACTTTTACCTAATGATTTAAAACGTCATCAGATAAGAAACTTGCATGGTATAAAAAATATTTAGATGATATTATTATATGATAGTATGCAAAGTTTGCCAATTCTCATTGGTGTATCGCGATGGAAACTTCCTCACTCCACTGTCGTTTAAGAAATGAGAGGCAGTGCCTAGAAGTGCTACGTGCTTAAATTATGAGCCTACCTTTTATTAATTTTTTTATCAACATAAATAACAATTCCGTTAAAAACTTCATGGAAATTTCCCTGTAGTTGAGTTATTTTCAAATATTATGAATTCTGCAGCTTAAAAAAAGGTTCTTTTATCATTATTCAAAAGCACTCTTGGGTCCACGAGACAGAACACCATTAGAAATATAGCCCTTTCATTACTCCCAGTGGTGCATCGTTAATCGTAATAATTTATTTGCTTCTTCGTTAAATTATAGTCAATAAATTCATCTTAATATTAAGGCCTTTATAAAATAGATCAGGGAGCGCAAGCATCGTAAAAAGGTGCGAGACGGAGGAGGAGGAGGTCAATCCATCTACATAACGTGACGAGCTGAGGAGTAAGGAAAACGATCCTTACAATGGAAGTGGCACAAGCATGAAAAGTAAGGTTGTAGTAGTAGTAAAAGTATACAGAAGTACACACACAAGTGTAATAATAATCCTATATAATCAAATTTATTAATACAATAAAACGAGTCTTATATCATCATTCGTTTGTTTAACTCACCTCCTAACATTCGCCCTACGAGGTGAATTCTCCCTACAACTACAATGGCAGGGTTTCTTTCCTAGAGACTTTTACGGGCTTACAATGAAGAAGAAGATTTGGCCTATATTTTATGGAGAATTTGTTCTACTGACAGATATGATTATTTTTTTTGATTTATTTATTAAAAGAAACTTACAGCTTTTATATCACATTTGAATGTAAGATGAATGTTAACAAAACATTAGCCAAAAAAGTTTCCAACGTTAAGATTTACATTGCGAAAACTTTAAACATTATTAAATGAAGTACATATTTATGTTTTGCCAAAGAGAAAAATATAATTACTGCATACGTAATACCAATGTTAGTAAAGGTAATTTTATATTCAGATAGAGGACAAGAAGTACAAACACTACCTAAGCGTGATCAACTTGTCTAATAGATGTAACATAACTATTTAATTTGCAGTTAAATATGTCAATATGGTTATAACGCTCATTATGTGTGTTGCAAGCGCGAACCAGAAACCGGTTTTTCGAATACTTAGTTCTGCAAAAAGGAGTAGAGAAAACTGCATTGGAGCGAGCACTCAACCTAGGGCATCTAAATGTAATACGACTTAGAAGGAAGGGGGAATCTATATAGTTATGTAAAAGTTTAAACAGAAACACCTGATTTCTATGTTCACGTCGTAATTCTAATAAATGATGTAGCGCAGAATAATCCTTAAATTTGTAATTAAGTCTTTTCAGAAACTTATTTTGAATCCTTTCTACTTGTTCCACATAAGTAGCGTAAATAGGGTTCCACACCGTAGATACGTATTCAAGACGACTTCTTACTAAATAATTATACAGCGTAATATAAGTGTTTATGTTTTTGAAGTCCTTGCATTGTCGGAAGACAAAACCTAACATTCTATAAGCCTTGGCAGTAGCCTTGTCAATATGAGACGCAAAGTCTAGTTTACTGTCTAGTTATATCGCCTCAATCCGTCCCTGGCTCAATATTCCAAACAGCCACATCAGCACATGCGTGAGAACTCGAGTGATAATTCTAAAGTAATGTAAGACGATATGATAATTGTACTAGACTTATTTTATTAACATTTAATATGGATGCATTCTGTAACTAACCACCTTCGAAAGAACATTAAATCATTTTATACTTTAAATTGTGTTTTTAAAAAGACTGTCGAGGTTCGTCGCAATTTAAGTGGCGCAGCCGGTAGGATATCCGTATATATTCTGCTGTCGTGCTAACGCCTTTCGGACCCCAAAATCGGTTTAAGCGTCAGTATAGCAGTCAGGTTCGGATATCCTTGAACCAAACAAATAACTCCCGCGACGCGCGCGCTATCGTTGCCAAATCAATCGATTACGCGCATTGGATCATCGGCAGTATCGAAGTGGTCAGAATCAACTGGAGGACATGGGATTGAACATACTGTGAGTAAACCTCTTCACTTCCTGTTTACATTTATCCCATTCTTTTCCGCATTTTCCGGACTAAAATCGTCGGGCCAAATTATTTGCAATTATCTGATTTTGTTGGCACAAAATAGGCCGATAATATTCTTGCTAATAGTTTAAGTTAGATTAAGTAAGATAGTTTAAATAAAAATGGCAGTAACTGTTATTCCAGCACATATTTTAGACTTGATTCCTAAATACGATGGGGATGAAAAATTACTCAATTTATTCATCTCAAAATGTGAATATGTTTTGTTAAATTCAGGAGGCGATAATACTCCGATTCAAAATTTATATAGATTCCATGCTATAAGTAGTAAGCTTAGTGGTAGAGCTGCGACTCTACTTAGTGATAACCCTAGTTTAAGTACGTGGGAGGATTTGAAAGAAATTTTGACCCAGCATTTCGGCGACCCCCGTTCAGAGGAATGTATTGCTATTGAACTAGAATCTTTAAAAATCAAACAAGGAGAGTCATTTATTCAGTTTTGTACTAGAATACAAAATGTAAAAAGTTCTTTATTCGCTAAAGTCCAAAGACATTGTGATGAAGGAATAAAGGCAGCCAAAATGATTATATATAATAATACCGCTTTGAACGTATTTTTGTACAATTTACCTGAAGACCTTATTAGAATTGTCCGACTCAAAGGCTGTTCTACTTTGGAGATCGCTTTAAGTATAGTCACAGAGGAAATTAACTTCTTAGCTCAGTATAACGCCAAAAACAATAAAGCCAAACCAGTTCAGCAATTAGCTCTGCAAAGTTTCGTGAGACCAACTGCATTTATAAATTCGAATTTGACACCAAACAATAATAATAATAATAGTAATTTCAAGTTTGGTGTACCCAATAACCAGATGGGATATATGCCTAATTTGATGCATACGAATAAATTCACAGCACCTCAACAAAGCTACCATTTTGCATCACCACAAAATTCAATGCCACGTAATTTCAATCATCAATTTACCCAACAACCACGAGCACCATTCCAAGTTGGTGGATTTAAATTTGGCATTCCCCAACATCAAGCTCAAAAATACGGCATGCAGAATCAACAACAGCCTAATCAGTTTAGATACGGCTTTCAACAACAGCCTAATCAATTTAAATACGGCTTTCAACAACAGCCTAATCAATTTAAATACGGCATACAACAGCAACCCAACCAATTCAAATTCGGCATACAAAATCAACCGCCCAAAAACGTTTACGACACTGACGTATCTATGCGTACCGCACCAATTAGGCAAAACATGACGACGAATGATTTGTTTTTTAGCGAGGAACCTTCAACATCATGTCAAGATTTCTCTCACGAT